GCAGCCCATATACATATTATGTAGGCAATTCTTCGATATAGAGATTGCGACACAATTGTATTAATTTCGCAAGGTTAGAAGGAATAAAAAACATGTAGGCAACTTACCGCTCCTCCCAACCTTTTTACACGAAAGCTTCTAATAAGATATACATAAATAAAATTAAAGGAATCTTGAATATTTTTTTTGAATTTGGTGGACGTAGTATATTATGTTCGCGCAAACTCCATTCGTTTATAATGATTTCCTGGGGTACGTGTGTATGTGTATACATATCAAAAGCACGTATGCATTGTAACGTTAATTTTAGCGTTTACCAAAATAAACCAATCGTTTCTGTTGAAACAATTCAGTTTTTTATCATTTAGGTAATTATCAAAATAATTCTATTCTTGTTTTTAACGAAAAGAAACGAAATTATTTTGATAAGTTATTTTTGCGCATCAACAAAACGAAAACGATTCATAGTTTGTTGAGCATCTCGCAGTAATGATTTGTATTCGTATGATAAAGTGGACTGTATTATGTTGCGAATTGTGGTTGTGGAATAAGTTAGGCTTTTATGAAATGGAGTCGTTACTTGGTTGCGATTCGCTGTGTTGTTGATCACAGGGGGGTAGTAGAACCAGCTTGACTACAGGTCTAGTAACCTGTCCTCTTTTAGTCATGAGGTCCACTACTCTTGCCCCATTGTCTGCACCTAGATGGACGTTAACTACCCTTCCAAGTCTCCATTCGTTTGGCGGCAGGTTATCTTCTTTGATGATCACGAGGTCTCCAATTTTCATATTGGCTTGCGGATATCTCCATTTGTTGCGTTTCTGCAATTCCGTGAGATATTCACTTTTCCACCGTTTGCAAAACGTGTGGTGTAGAGCCTTGAGCCTCTGCCATCGATTTACAATCGAGGCACGATTTTCATCAGCGTCTATTTCTGGTGGAGCTAGTATGTGTCCACCGATTAAGAAGTGGCCTGGAGTCAGTGGCTCCAGGTCTCCTGGTTGATTTGATGAGGGACTCAGGGGTCGAGAGTTGAGACAGGATTCAACTCTGCATAATAGGGTTGTAAATTCCTCAAACGTGTATTTGTGGTTGGAAGCAATTTTCGTAAAGTGGCTTTTAAAACTTTTAACTCCCGCTTCCCACAGTCCGCCCATGTGGGGAGCTGAGGCGGGAATGAAGTGCCACGAAAGCATTTGGTGAGCGTATTTCGCCAAAGTGTTATCGCGGGCGTCTTTTAAAAAGGCTTTTGTTTCGGCTCCCAGAGCTCTAGAAGCTCCCACAAAATTGGTGCCATTGTCGGAATAGATATTTTTTGGACAGCCTCGTCGTGCGATGAACCTGGCAAATGCTGCTAAAAACGACTGAGTGCTCAAGTCCGAAGTGGCTTCCAAATGGATTGCCTTTGTTGCGAAGCATACAAATAGGCAGACATATCCCTTTGACATGCGACAACCGCGGCCGCTATAACTTTTAATGTCAAATGGCCCTGCGAAGTCGACTCCCGCATTTGTAAACGCTCGCGAAAATGTCGTTCTTTCCTTGGGAAGAATTCCCATTAACTGAGTTTGCGCGCGTTTGCGATAAATCGTGCAAGCCTTACAGTTATGAATTGTGGACCTAATCAAGTTTTTGACCCTAGGTATCCAGTACTGTGTTCGGATCAAGCGCAGCATGAGCTGATTCTCACCATGCAGGGAAACTTTGTGAATAAACTGAACTATGAGACGGGACAAGGTGCAATTATAAGGCAGGATGGTTGGGTGACGCTCGTTGTAGGCGAGATCACGATATGCTCCCAGCCGTCCACCTGTTCTCATTATACCGTCTTTGTCGATGAATGGGGTAAGGGGCAATACTTCACTTTTAGAACCTACTGATTTTCCTGATACTAATGCTGAATATTCCTCACCATAATGCTGCTTCTGGCAAACTAGTACTAGGCGTTGAGTCGTTGCTTTAATTTCATCAGCTGAAATTAAACAAGATTTCGCTTGAAATGAAGCTTTGGTATTTGGACGGGTTCTTTGGGAGAATCTCATTACGTATGATAGCACTCTCAAAGCTCTTGGAAATTCAGAAAACCTATCAAGAATATTAGTTTTACTATCCATTGTTGTTATATGAACTTGTACCCTAGTTTTCGATAGTAGCAGGTTGATGAACACTTTGCTGCTTATTTCGACAAGCAAGTAAATAGATGCTGCGTAAGCCTTCCCTGAGGCGTCGCAAAATCCGTGAATTTCGATCTCGGCCACAGGGGAAAAGTGTACCCAACGTGGAATACGAATTCTTTCGATACTGTCGTAGCTTTCCCTAAAATTTTTCCAGCGGTCTAGAGTCGTAGGTGACACGATTTCGTCCCACCCTGTTCCTTCCAACCAGATATTCGGTTCACCGATCGTTCATGGTCCAACTACGCCGGAATTAAAAGTAACCATCATTTATATATATTAAAAGGTCACGGAAGCACGCCCCAGACAAAAACGCCCCAGATTAATACACTTGATCGAGCAGACGTCTGTCCATACGAAATAATAAGGAGCCAAAGGACCGAGATACACGGTGCGGCAACAACGCAAAAGCGCTCATATTACCACCAGCTCACCAGAAACCAACACAGCGACACATAAAGGCGCAAATCTGTCCAGCAAACAGCAAAAGTCACCAAAAGTTCAAAAACTAATTACAAAGGTACGTGGTTGTCGTTTCAAGCACATTATTTTATGTATTATTGGTGAAAACGCGATAAATACCGAAAAATTCGCGCACTTAAAAGCCAGTAATAACCGATAGTGATTTTGTGGAAAATCGTGAACAGTGAATTTCAATTATTAATATAATTTGTCAAATCATTAAACCAAACTTGTGAGCATAGGTACATACATACATACGGGTATGCAAGACAAACACCAGTGCGCGCGACAGCGATTTTAGTAAAAACTTTCCACGTGAGTTGTTTGTGTAATTATTCTCTTAAACAACACTGCAACACACTTTTTTCACTAAGTTTCGGGGCTCAAAATTATTTTCCAATATCTTCAAAATACATATTCAATTCGAGGATTTTTGGCTTTCATCACGTTTATTGTATTTAGTTCGAGTTGCATTTTCAATTCTTTACGCACATATACACATGTATGTATGTACATCAACACTAACACATCACGGAGTTTGATTCTAACCTCACTTGTTATTAATTTGGTTGGCAATTTTGAGTTCACTTTAAATTTTCATCCACAAAATCACTATTCACGTGCGGCATACAATATTGGACAAATAAGAAGTCACTTCGGAATAAGTAGACTAATAATTCAATTACAATTGAGAGTTGGGTGGCGAGTTTTTTTAGATTCTGCAATCATAAGAAAAAAGTAAAATATATATATATACTTGCAAATACATACATACGCGTAACCTTTAAAACATACATACATATATATATTATTACAAATAAAAGAATATATTTTGATACGTGTGAAGGTACACTAGAAATTCTTGTGTTAATATCTGGGATTGTGGTGGTCTCTAAGCATTTTTATACCTTTCATGAGCATGAAATGGTATTATAACTTTGGTCCGATGTTTGTAAGTACCAGAACAAAAAGAGATAGACCCATTAAAATGTATACTTTTATGATCAGAACGTCGAGCTGAGTTGATTTAGCCATGTCCGTCTGTCCGTCTGTCCGTCTGTCCGTCTGTCCGTCTGTCTGTCTGTTTGTATGCAATCTAGTCTCTCAGTTTTCGAGATATCCGGATCAAATTTGGTAGGTGGGTGTATTTTTATAATGTATTAATCATTTGTCGGAACCGGAAGAATCGGACCACTATAACATATAGCTCCCATACAACTGATTGTTCAGATATGAGATTTTTCGTTATAACTTCTCCATTTATGCAGCTACGAACATAAAATTTTGCAGCCCTTGCACCCATTATCAACAGAATTCTTACAGTGAAAATTACAAAGATCGGGTCACTATAACCTATAGCTCCCATACAACTGATTGTTCAGATATAACATTTTTCGTTATATCTCTTCCATTTATATAGCTGGGAACAGGAAATTCCGCACAGTTTTCAATAATTATCAACAGAAAACTTACAGTGAAAATTAAAAAGATCGGATAACTAAAACCTATAGCTCCCATACAACTGATTGTTCAGATATGAGATTTTTCGTTGTAATTCATCCATTTATGTAGCTAGGACCATGAAATTTCGCGCTGTTTTCACTCATTATCAGCAGAAGACTTACAGTGAAAATAACGAAGATCGGGTCACTATAACCTGCAGCCCCCATACAACTGATTGTTCAGATATGAGGTCTTTTATCATATCTCCTCCATTTATGCAGTTAGGAACATGAAATTTCGCACCATTTTCACTCATTAACAGAATACTTACAGTGAAAATAACAAGGATCGGGTGACTACAACATATATCTTCCATACATCTGATTGTTCAGATATGGGATTTTACTGTAAAACTCCTTTATTTGAACAGCTAAAACCGATAAATTTCGTAAGATATTTTATAAATAATAATACAAAGTCTACTGAGAAAATCGTCAAAATCTATGCTGTATAAGCTTTATCTCCTATAGCACTGATTGTTCAGATACCAGTTTTTGCGATATATCTCCTTTATGTAGGAAACTAAACCCAATAAATTGTGTTACCGGTTTACATACCGATCACATAGCAGTGAAAATCACTTAGATTGGTGCCATATAAAGTATATCTTCCATACCTCTGATTGTTTAGATGCGATTTTTTATATAAGTATGTAACTCCTCCATCGATGTATCAAAATCAGTAATCTGTCAAACTAAAATTTGCAGATGTTCATGAAAGGTATGAAGCCTTCGGCATAGCCGAAGACAGCGCTGCTCACTTGTTCTCAAGTGAAGTCGTACTTGAATCTTGGCCTTCAGTGGTTTTTTCTGTGCTAAATAATACCTGTCAGTTTGCAAAATTTTTGTTCTGATAAACAAAATGGATAAATTCATAAAATTAACTGATGCTGTGGCAGAATTTGAGGCCGACTATAATGACACGGCCCAAATTGGCCACACAAAATATACCCTCACTCTTCAGCAAGAGGAACTTAAGGCAATATGGAGAAAGGTAAAAACAGCTTACGAAGAATTAGTGCATTCCGACACGTTAGACGCTAAAGGAGTCTCTACGGTTAAACCTAGGTATAAGAGCTCCTATTCTGTTTATTTGCGCTGCATGTCGAACATGTCAGATTTCCAGGCAAAGTTAGTCAAGGGCGAAAAAGATACAGAGGGCGTGTCTGTCCAGGAACACAATATACATCTGCCCCCGTGCGATACGGACGTGTTCAAAGGCGACTACCTCTCTTGGCCAACATTCCGAGACATGTTTACGGCCATATATATACTGAATAAGCGCCTTACCCCGGTTGAGAAATTATTCCACCTCAACCAAAAAACACAGGGGGAGGCCAAAGATATCGTACAAAAATGCCCACTTACTAACGAGGGATTTGCCACTGCATGGAAAAATTTAACTGATAGGTACGAGAATAAACGTATTCTCGTAAACTCCCAGTTACAAATTCTTTTTAATTTAAAGTCGGTAGAAAACGAGTGCGGAATCTCGATTAAGAAACTACAGCGAGATATAAATAATTGCATCTCATCATTAAAAAGCCATAAAATTGACATATCAAACTGGGATGCAATATTTACTTATCTCTGCTCAACGAAGTTGCCAGAAAGTACCTTAGCATTGTGGGAACAAACGATCGAGAACAAGACGGAAATATCCAAGTGGGAGGATATGGACAAATTTCTGTCCAACCGATTCCAAACTCTTGAAACCGTCTCGGGCATAACAGGTATTAAACATACCAAAACCCCAAAGCCCCACAATAGTAGGCATACAAATGAAACACCGCAAAAAAGACTTGGCGCATTTCAAGCTTCTGTAGCCAAAACCATGTGTGTATTCTGCAAAAGCAGTAACCACAAATTATCGAAATGCCACAAATTTCTCGAACTCACGGTGTCAAACAGAATAGCCTTCATTAAGGAGAATCGTGGCTGCTTGAACTACTTATCCTTTGGACATACTGTGTCAAGGTGTACGTGCTCATTTAACTGCAGCACCTGTCACCAAAGGCACCACACGCTCCTGCATAATCAAGCAGCTCAGCCAAAAGCAGCCATGAACCAAAGGCAACAACCAAATTTTTCAGATGACACGCCGTCAACTTCTGCGCAAGCCCAGGCCAGACGCAACTCTGAAAAAGGAAATAGGAGTCCGGTTAATAACGTTAAGTCCTGTTTTGCCAACACGAACAAGGGAGTCCTATTAGGAACGGCACGTGTCAATATCTTCTTCAATAATACTAATTTTTCAGCCCGTGCACAAATAGACTCCGGTTCGGAATGTTCATTCATATCAGAAAGACTTAAACGCCGAATTAACCTACCATCCAAAAGTTTGAATGCTCAGGTGTCAGGCATCAACAACACCGTTTCAGCCCAAGTCAAAGAAGCGTGTTTAATACAGCTGCGGTCACCGATTGACCCTTTAATAAAAATAGATACCACTGTCCTGGTTCTACCACAGCTTACAGGAAATCTGCCGACTTGCCAGATCAATGCTATGACAAAGCAAGCGTTGTGGGATTTAGTATTAGCTGACAAGAGATTCTTCATAAATGAGCAAGTTGATCTTGTACTAGGCGGCGATATTTACGCCCAAATAATATTGAGTGGCATACAGAAGAATGTTTTAGGTACCCTGCTTGCGCAAGAGACTGTATTCGGCTGGATACTAACCGGTCAAACTGAGGCAACAGGGCCAACGAATAAATGCGTTTCATTCTTCAACGAAGTCACTCTAGACAAACAATTAGCGTCTTTTTGGGAATTAGAGGACATCCCAAAGAACCATACATACAACAGAGAGGAAGTTTACTGCGAGGACCTGTACAAACGCACAACTAAAAGGAACAAAGATGGAAAATATACAGTATCGTTGCCATTCAAAATGGATTTTCCAGGGAGCGTACGGTTAGGACCCTCTCTCAAGAGTGCTTGCTCTCAATTTTTTCGCAATGAGACGCGTCTAGCAAAGGACCCACTCCTACAAACGGAGTATAATAGGGTACTGTCCGAGTACGAAACTTTAGGACATATGACGCGAATTTCCAGCCATATTCAAGCTGATGAGTGTGAAAATTATTTTTTACCTCATCATGCCGTCCGGAAGGAAGAGAGCACCACCACCAAAGTACGGGTGGTGTTCAATGCGTCGTGTCCGACAGCTAATGGGGTGAGTCTCAATGATGTGCTCCATCCTGGTCCAGTCCTGCAAAATGACCTCACCATCTTAATACTTCGGTGGAGATTCTATAAATATGTTTTTAATAGCGACATCGAAAAGATGTATCGCCAGATTTTACTTAATCCTACCGATAACAAGTATCAACGAATAGTTTTCCGCACAAGCCCAACAGAACCAATTAGTCTTTTTGAACTTAATACGGTGACTTTCGGGGTCAATTGCGCCCCTTACCTCGCGATTAGAACCCTGCTCCAATTAGCTGACGATGTAGAACAGTCACACCCCATGGCGTCGGACATATTAAGGAATTACATGTATGTTGACGATGTTTTAGCTGGCGGTCACACCATCGAAGCTGCTATCAAAGCAAAAACCGAAATAACAAGTGCATTGCAGTCTGCTGGGTTCCCCTTGAGGAAATGGACGTCCAATTGCAATGAAATATTAAAGGGAATACCAAAATCCCATCTACTGAAAGAAGACTTCTTGGACTTTGAAGACACTAGCACAGTCAAAGCTTTGGGTATCAGGTGGAATGCCCACTCTGACAATTTTTACTTTACAGCCAAGCCAATAGAGGAACAGGTTAGCTATACTAAAAGGCAAATACTATCGGCTATTGCCAAATTATTCGACCCTCTAGGATGGCTTGCACCAGTGATAATTACTGCGAAAATTTTAATGCAGAATATCCGGCTCGAAGGACCATGAACGATCGGTGAACCAGTGGGTCGCAACTCCCGCAGTGGCACCAATGTCAATTGAAAAAAGAAAAAATGGAAAAAACACAACCAATTGTATTAGTGTATAATAGCTTGAATTTCAAGTGGCTTTATTATCAAATAAATCAGTGGGTGTACAATGTGATTACCTTTTAATATGTATCGCTGGGTGATGGCTGAAGTCGTTCGGTCTCCTTGATAGCTCGAATGAAGTGAAAAGGTCCCGCTTTGACAAAGTTAAGTTTACCCGCCGGCAGCCAACTGCTCGGAGGGGAAACTTAACGAAAGTATGTTACAACGGGAAATAATACATTTATTGCTAACGGCGTAGCAATAAAGGTAGGCCGTATATATGCCTGAGTGTGTTTGTGTGGTCGGCTCAAGTCAATGCACTTTTACATTAGGGTGGTTCGACCTTTAAATCATTTGGTTTTGCATGAAGGCCTAAACAATATTATTTCCTTGACCGAAACATGGCTCAAACCTCATATTTTTAATTCCGAAATTCTTCCAAATGAATATCAAATATACAGGAGTGACCGCGTGGGCAGAATCGGCGGTGGTGTTCTTTTTGCGGTGCATTCATCGATACCATCCGAGGAAGTTAGTCTTCCTGTCATTGAATATACCGAATTTAAATGTATACGTGTACAGGCTGGAAAGACTTATATTTATTTAGCTCTTTGCTACATCCCTCCTAATTCTGCCGTATCGGTATATATGCAGCTAGTTTCTTTACTTGAGACCGTAAATGCAATGCTTACGGCATCCGATTCTATGATTGTTTTGGGCGATTTAAATCTGCCACATATTTCATGGAACATCATTGACACCGATGTTGTACCAATTTCATCTAGAGATAGTTACAATGTATTTCTGGAGGAAATGGCTGAACTTTGCCTCAAGCAAATAAATATATGTCCAAATAAGTTTGGAAAGGTCTTGGATCTCGTTTACGTTGATGATGTTCCGAAGG